ATCTCCATAGCGGCCTCCACGGCTTACCACCCCCAATCGGACGGCCAGACTGAACGCGTCAACCAGGAGATCGAGCAGTTCCTCCGCCTGTACGTCAATCACCTCCAGGACGACTGGGAGGAATGGCTCCCCATCGCCGAGTTCGCCTACAACAACCGTGTTCACTCCTCGACCCGCCAGACCCCCTTCTTCATGGACTATGGGTGTCACCCACAGATGGGCGTGGAACCTCGGAGGGTCCCGCACGCGGAAGGAGCTTCCGAGTTCGCAGAACGTATGAAGCGCGCCGAGGAGGAAGCGGGTGCTGCCCTGCGGCAAGCCGCGGAGGATATGGCCCGGCACTACGACAGGCATCGCGGAGCCCCCTCGGAATTTCGCGTAGGCGACAAGGTATGGCTACATGGGAAGGATATTCGCACCCAACGCCCCGCGAAGAAGTTGGACGATCGGTGGTATGGCCCTTTCGCTGTCAATAAGGTGATCAATCGCAACGCGTATCGCCTGACGCTCCCAGACTCCTGGAAGATCCACCCCGTTTTCCACGTCTGGAAGCTCCGTCGCTACGTGGAGGACACCATTCCCGGAAGGCCGCGGCACCACCGACCGCCGCCCGCGGTCGTCCGCGATGGAGTCGAGGAATGGACGGTTGACCGCCTCGTAGACTCCCGGATCTTCCGAGGAAAGCTGCAGTTCCTCGTTCGCTGGGAGGGCTATTCGGCTAACGAGGACACTTGGGAACCGGAGGAGAACGTGTCCCCGGTCAGTATTCGCGACTTCTACCGCCGCCACCCTAACGCACCGCGGCGGATCTCCTCGCTCACGTTCAAGTCCTTGCGATTCCGGCCGATGCACCGTTATACGACTCCCGGGGAGCTCCCGACGCCCGTGTCCAATTCACAGTAGTTAAGGTACACGATGTCTACGCTACGGGTCGCCGGACGCTCCGCCATCTCCACTTCACTCTCGCCTCGCCCCTTACACCACTTCGTCGTCATGTCCCTCGTCCTCCTCCATCCCCGTCACCTCTCTCCCGACCTCTTCCATCTCCTCGGTCGCTCCAGACCCTCCCTCTTGAATCGAAGGCGTAGTCGGCGGGGCCGACGGGCCCGACGCACTGCCCCAACCGAAGGCCGACGGACCTCCCGACGCTGCCGGAGCCTCCGTGGAGAGGCCGAATGCGCCGCTGGCGCGCACCGCACGCACGAGCTCTCGAACCTCGCGCATGGCGGCGCCGAACTCGCCCATCGCCTCAGCGACGACCGCGAGCGTCGCCTGGACGCCGTCCGCGGCGGAGCCTCCGCGGGTGTGGCTGCATGGCTGCCGGCGTGTCGCGCAGCCGACGCAGGCGGTTGCGGCCCTCGAGCGCTGCTTCAGGCAGACCTGCCCGGACGCCAGGCAGGTCACGCAAGGCGTCGGGAACGCCTCGGGCGGGTCCTCCCCGGACTATCAACATCGTCAGCAGGGTGGAGTGCGATGGCCACTGACTCACCTTCGCGCGCTTCGACGCCTGAGTCGAGGTCGGGGACTCCGCGTGTTGGCGCTTGCGCTCCAGGGGCGGTACCACGACCTCCAAGGTGTTGCGGGAGCCGCCGCGGCCCTTCGACGATGCAGCGGCCTCCTGCCGACCACGACCCGCTACCCCCTTCGCCTTTGCCGCCGCTACCGCCTTCGCTTCCGCCTCCTTCGCCTTCGCCTCCGCTGCCTTAGCCTCCGCCTTCGCCGTCGCCGCGTCCGCCTTTGCCTGCGCCGCGTTCAGCTTTGCCTGCGCCGCCTCCAGCGCGGCGACCGGATCCTCCTCGCTGTCGTCGCTGCTCCTCTCCTCGGACGATCCGCGTTCGATGGGGACGGGGCGGGCCTGAGATCGAGTTCTCTTAGACATGGTAGGTGCTGGGGGAACTCGGTTGGGGTGGGAATTCCGACCCGTCGAGGCGCCGGGTCTTGAAGGGGGGGTGATGTCAGGGCACGGCTCCCACACTCGCCTCATGTCTCATTGTTCTCTTTTTCTGCTTCCGCTTCTGTCCCATTTCGTTCACTCCCCCTAATACTTCCGTCTCCCTATTCGGTCGCGCTCTCCCGCGCCCTCCTTTTGGCATCTCCCCTATTTCGTTCCGTCGCTCGGCGCTCCTAGGGCCTCCGCACTCGACCGGCCTTCCTAGGCCGGTCCACCGGTCACGTGTCGGGCGTCCGAGGACCCTCCCCTTCTCTCATTGGACCATCTTTCGTTGCGTGATGATTACTCATCTACTATATAGTCGCC